ACCTCAGATGATCCGCCCACCTTGGCTTCCCAAAGTGGTGGGATTATTACAGGCGTGAGCCACCTTGCCTGGCATTTTTTGGTTTTTTTGAGACAGACTCTTGCTCTGTTGCCAGACTGGAGTGTAGTGCGGATCTTGGCTTACTGCAACCTCCACCTCCCAGGTTAAAGCAATTCTTTTGCCTCAGCCTCCCAAGTAGCTGGGACTACAGGTGTGCCCCACCACACCCAGCTAATTTTTTTTTTTTTGAGGCAGAGTTTCACTCTGTCGCCCAGGCTGGAGTGGAGTGTCACAATCTTGGCTCACCGCAACCTCTGCCTCCTGGGTTCAAGCATTTCTCCTGCCTCAGCCTCCCCAGTAGCTGGGATTACAGGCACCCACTACCACACCAGCTAATTTTTGTATTCCTATTTTTAGTAGACGGGGTTTCACCGTGTTGGCCAGGCTGGTCTCGAACTCCTGACCTCAGGTGGTCCGCCTACCTCGGCCTCCCAAAGTGCTAGGATTACAGGAGTGAGCCATGTGCCTTGCCTGGCTAAAATCTTTTGAGTACTCAAAGTTGCTGTTTACTGTGCTGGGGTCTTTTATTCAGGTAACATGTGTATTACTCATTTTTATGTCCCAAGTGTCTATTCCAGTATATGGTATTTATTTAGCTGCTTCAATAAGTAGTTAGTAAATTAAAATATTAACAGTAATGCAAATGTGTCTTCTGATTTATTTCAGCAATAATAGTAGGCAAATAAAATATCTTTATTACTAAGAAAAAAATTGAGAGAGGTTAAACATTGTGCTTAAGGTTACAGAGATAACAGTCATAAAGTGCATAAAGTGTGTATTATGTTGAATCAGTCTAATAAGTTGCTGGTTAAGATACTGCTATAAAAAGAGAGAGCAAAAAGCTAGAAAACCCCTGAGGAGAACAGAGCATAGAGCTTATTAGGGCAACCCAAAGGATTGCTGGCAGCAGCCAGGGACCAGCTGAATCTCGAAATACTGACTTCCGTGGTGGCATCAATCTCTGCATTTGCATCTGTGTGGTTTGTGACATATTGGGCAGCACTGAGCAGTTCTGTTGCAGGGCCAAATATGTAGGAGGCTAAGGTGCAGAAGAACAACGAATGGTACAAGGGAACTAGGGAAAATGGTACAGCTTCATGGGGAAAGAAACAAAGGTGGAAGGGGCCTGAGGATGATAGAGAAAAAGAGGAGTTAAAGAACCTGTGAGTTGAAGTGCCATTAATAGGAATAGTTGTCATGGCCGGGTGTGGTGGCTTACACCTGTAATCCCAGCACTTTGGGAGGCCAAAGTGGGCAGATCACTTGAGATCAGGAGTTTGAGACCAGCCTGGTGAAACCCCATCTCTACTGGAAAAAAAAAAATACACACACACACACACACACACACACAGACACACACACACATATATATATATGTTAGCTGGGCGTGGTGGCATGTACCTGTAGTCCCAGCTACTCAGGAGGCTGAGGCAGGAGAATTGCTTGAAACCAGGAGGTGGAGGCTGCAGTGAGCTGAAATTGTGCTGCTGCACTCCTGCCAGGGTGACAGAGCGAGACTCTGTCTCAAAAAAAAAAAAGGAATAATTGTCAGAGCTAGCTGACCAAGAGACAGTAATCAGAGTAGGGTGTCTGATGGACTGTTTCAGAGGTACAGCCATTGAGGGAGAGGACAGGATAAAGGGTGTAGCCATAAATGGGTGCTGGTGAAGATCTCTGAGCTCATCTCAAGGAATTGAGAGGCCAGGGTGTGGACGTCTGGTAATATTATAACATCATTATTAAGTGGAGAGAGCTGCTGAGAACTACTGCCAGAGTGAGATGAGTAGAGTGAAGTGGAGGGGTAGCGTATGATAGTGCTGGGTGCCATGATGAGGGTAGTAGCCCGGGATAAGGGTAGGTTAAAGGGTGGGATGGCACAGGTAATGAAGGATAGTGGTTCTGGATAATGCTTCTGGCTTATTTCATGCCTTCCCATCTGTTTCCTGTAGATTGATGTGCACCTCCATGATGCCCGGGGCCGGCCACATCAGTGTGGAACAATTCAGCTTGACTTCCAACTGCCCCTGAGATTTGACCTCCAGTATAAGGGGTATAAAGCCTTGCCGTATCCTCTTTTCTCTTGACAGTGCATGGAATAGGTCCTTCTGCCTTTGGCCCTAAAAACCAAATCCTCTACACCCTCTCCTGCCAGAGCTGAATATTTCTTAAAAACTGGAAGGTGATCTTGGGTACACAATTTGTGATACTTCCACCATTCCATCTACTCCCCTTTTTCCTTTCAAGGCAGGCGGGTGCCCTGGAGCGTCCAGTCCTCATTCACCGAGCAGTGCTTGGTTCTGTGGAAAGACTGTTGGGAGTGCTGGCAGAAAGCTGCGGGGGGAAATGGTGAGACCTCTGACCCTGGATTTCTCTTCTGGCCCCAAACCAGATAGTTTATGCTCCCAATCCTGTCGCCCTTCATATGCCAGCCTTTTTCCTTCTCTAGTCTGCTCTGTACAACCACACTACTGGCAAGAGCCAGAGTGACTAATTTGCCATCATCTGTTCTTTCCCTACCAGGCCACTGTGGCTGTCCCCGTTCCAGGTGGTGGTTATCCCTGTGGGGACTGAGCAAGAGGAATATGCCAGGGAGGTAAGGAGTTGAGGCAAGGGAGGGGGCAGAAGCAGGTCCAGTAGAGTCTGGTGCCCTGCAGTGGGCAGGAAGAGGCCACACGGGTGGTGGAGGAAGGAGCACAGCCCTTGGAGCCACAAGACTGGGCTCGAGTGGCTGCTGTCCTAGATGCTGGAAATCCTGTATCTAAAAAATGTGATTAATCCCTACCTTGTAGAGATGTATGAAAATTAAACAAATTAACAAATGTTGAAAGCCGCCAAAAGGGCACTTGGCACAAAAGTGGGATTGAGTACACAGTTTTTCCTTTCTAGAGAGAATTGAGGATATGGATGGTACTGGAGTTGAACAGCTGGTTGGGTAGAGCAGTGGCTAGGAGGCAAAGCCCAGGGAATAATTGGGGGGCCATCTCCAGTAGGAGGCAGACGGAAAGGTTGTGGGGCTGGGGATGAATGGGGAGGAGGCCTCAATGTGGAGATGAAATGAGGAGAGGTTGCTGGTGAGAAGTGGAGAGCCCCGAGGCAGGGAAAGGGGGAACAGATGGGAGAATTGAGGGAAAAGAGCATCAGACTATTCTAGCTCCTCAACTTTCCAGTAAATTAACTTCCTGTCACCAAACCTCTGATGCAGGCACAGCAGAGCCTGCGGGCTGCAGGACTGGTCAGTGACCTGGATGCAGACTGTGGACTGACCCTCAGCCGGAGAATCCGCCGGGCCCAGCTTGCCCACTACAATTTTCAGTTTGGTAAGCTGAACCTCAGAGCCGATGTTCTCCCACCTGCCGTCTGCATTCTTGCTGTTAAGTTTACCAAGTCTGGTAATGCATATTTGGGTTAATTGGGGCTCATTACCTGAGCAGGTAGGAGCCAGGATTCAGGACATCTGACTCATTTGGGCCCTGTGTTCCTTCACATTGCCCTGCCCTCCCCATAACCACTTCTGACCTTAAAAATAGTTTTCCTCTTTTTAACTCCACTCTAGCTGTTGGTGTCTGTTAGGTTAATTAACCAAGGGAGCATCAGAGAGAAAGGGACAGGAGGGTTAATATGATGTTAATTACCCTTGTTTATTCTAGACCTAGATGGAATCAGCCCTAAGGGATGAGGAGAAGGGCCTTAGGGAGAAAATTCTGGCACTGCCATGCTCCCTTTTTCATTTTCCAGGGTTCAGAGCTCTATCTCAAAGGCAAGGGGCAGAAACTCCTCAGCCAGATTACCTGATTCTTGAGTTTTGCACACCCCACTCGCCCCACAAGCACCCACAGCAAGCTGTGCCACAATCCCATGGACCTGCACATGGCCCCTCTCCCTCCCTTACCGCCCAGTCAGCCCCTGCATACATCCTCCTCAGCAGAGGCGCCTCACTCTGTGAATCCAGCCCTAACAGACACCAAGAGCCAGAGTGGGACTGATGAGAGGAAACTGTTCTAAGGGTCAGAAGTGGTTGCGGGGAGGTTGGACAGCGTGAAGGCCACACCACTCCTGCCACCTTCCCCTTCCTCTAATACCCCCTTCAGATACACACACACACACACACACACACACACAGGTTGGACAGCGTGAAGGCCACACCACTCCTGCCACCTTCCCCTTCCTCTAATACCCCCTTCAGATACACACACACACACACACACACACACACACACACACAGAGTTTCTCTCTGTGGGGTTCTCAGTGTTTGTCTTTCTCTGCTTGACTCTAATGTCTGTGACCCTGGAGCTCCTGACCAGAAGCGATAAGGCCCATGGGGACTGAAGCATTTCCTTGTCTCCTCAGGGTGAGCAAGACTGGTCATTTAGTATTTAGCAGGCACAGCTGAATACTTCCTTTCTGTGAACCATATCTGGGCTCTGCTCCCACCCTTCCTAAAGATTTAGGTCTCTCAAGTTTCTGCAGAGCAAAAGAAACTATCCCATGTGGATGAATTTGCCCTGAGGTTCCCAAACTTCCTCTACCTGCAGTGGTTGGCCAGAAAGAGCAAAGTAAGAGAACAGTGAACATTCGGACTCGAGATAATCGTCGCCTTGGGGAGTGGGACTTGCCTGAAGCTGTGCAGCGACTGGTGGAGCTACAGAATATGAGGGTCCCAAATGCCGAAGAAATTTTCTGAGCCTTTGTACATAGATGAGGCAAAAACCTGTGAGAGCCATCAGCCTCCCTCACATGGGAGACCCCAGAACCTCAGAACTGCGTGGAGGCACGTGTCTGCTCTCCTGAAAAGAGACTTGGTTTGGCGACCCCACAAAGGGAGGGAAGCTGTAGCTGTTTGGATGTGAGGAGAATGAAACTAAAAAAAAAAATACACTGGGCCAGGTGCAGTGGCTCGTGCCTGTAATCCCAGCACTTTGGAAGGCCAAGGCGGATGGATCATGAGGTCTGGAGATCAAGACCACCCTGGCTAACACAGTGAAACCCTGTCTCTACTAAAAATACAAAAAATTAGCCAGGCGTGGCGGCACACACCTGTAGTCCCAGCTACTCAGGAGGCTGAGGCAGGAGAATTGCTTGAACCCGGGAGGTGGAGGTTGCAGTGAGCTGAGATCGCGCCACTACTCTCCAGCCTGGGCGACAGAGCGAGACTCCGTTTCTAAATAAATAAATAAACAAATAAATAAATACTGGAAGCTGCTGGTCATATGTCTTCATCTCTGACTCTGGAGAGGTGGGATAAAAGGATGTTCCACTTTGTCTCCCTCTTTTTTGTCCCAGAGTGTTAGGGAAATTGAAAAGGGACAGTCCAGACCTCACACTGGTAGGGGAGATCCCTTGGATAGGTGTCCTGCTCCCCCCCGTAAACTCCTTTGTGCCCTGTTTCCCCAACCCCAGTTCATGATTTGGCAGATCCCCTCTCCACAGAAGGCAGCATGTAGATGGAGAAACTGAGGCACAAACTAGGGGCTCAAACACCTCTTGCTCTTTGATTCTCTGAATCAGTTTCTCTTGAGGGTCATAAGAATGTTCTCCTCTGGTCAGTCCCATTCTTCTCAATTCTCTGATGAGGCTTCAGGGTGACTTTTGGAGGAGTGGCTTCCAGAGGAGGAGCAGCTGGGACTGAGTCATGGCAGGAAGCTGAGGAGGGCGGGAGATCACACCAGACAATTATAAAAGAAGAGCCGGTCCTGAAGCTCACGACAGTAACAGCCACCAGACAAGCTCCAGCAGCTGGCCCTTCACATCCAGACTTGCCTGAGAGGACCCACCCCTGAGTGTCCGGTGGTCAGTTGCCCCAGGATGGGGACTACAGTCAGAGCAGCCTTGGTCTTGGCCTATTTGGCCATTGCTTCTGCTGCCTCTGAGGGAGGTGAGTTGGAGGGTCAGCACTTGGGAGAGGGTCTGGGCTTGCATGGCAGGGGTTTGGGTCCAGGCATCCCAGATGGCTCATCACTAGCAGAGTGATTCTCCATTTGACTTGCCTTTTCTGAGCAGGCCCAAAGTGGGCCTGGGCCACTGGAGCCTTTAACCAAGGAGGCAGAGAGCAGGGGCACAGAAGGAGAGGGGCTCCTAGAAACTGCTGCCAAGAAACACAGAATCCCAGTCAAAGGGACAACTGAGTGGGGGTGGGTTCACAGAGTGAGGGTCTCCTGCTGAGGAGGATGTAGGGAGGGGGCTGGTGGGACAGGCAAGGGAGGGAAAAGGGGCCCCCAGGCTGCTCAAAACCGGATTGCTGACCCAGCAAGCCTTGACGGGCTCCCTGTCTGATTAGAGGAGTTGAGGGGTGTCCATCCACAGAGCCACCCTCCATCCAGCACAAACACATTCTTTATCCACTTTCATGCCTGAACAAAACAGGAACCCCTCAATGCTATGGGTGGAAACTAAGAAAAAAGGGAAAAGAAAAGGAAAAAAAACCAGCCAGGGCACTCCTGCGGGAAGTTGCTGAGGATGTCAGCAGATCTGTCTGCTTCTCTGTGAAGCCTCATGTCATCATTCTTCCCAGCTCCTGGTCTTTTGTGTCTGCAGATCACCTACAAGTGACTCCCTTCCCTGTGCCTGTCCCAGTCCCCCAGGCCCTAAATTGAGACCTAAACTAAGGAGGAGCTGAGACTGGCTGAAGGGGAAGTACTCAACCTTCAGGAAGCCTCCTTAGCCAAAGGCCTAAAGATGTTTCAAGGGCCTGGAGTAGGAGGGTGGGTGGAGGAGGTGGATAGGGTAGGCTCCAACCAGCTCAAGGTCTAGACTTTTTCCTCTGAAAGCTAGAGACTCATCCCAGCAGAGACTGGGGAGGACAACCCACAGCCCTGAGGGAAAGACGCTGGCAGAGGAAATGAGGGCATCCCTCCCCAATCCCATATGCCATACTCCCTTTAGGCCCAGCCTCTGAGCCAGTAGAGGTGGAGCTATCAGAACGCCACAGGCTTCCTCAGAACCCAGCTGGTTATGTCTAGGTGTGTTGGGGCTGGGAGAGGATTAAGGGACACGGGGCAGGTGAATACAGAGGGGTATCTCGTGTCTTGCTTGTCTCTCCTACACTCTTGATCTCCATAGCCTCCCCATCCCTTGCTGAAGTCCAGGGAAGGCCCTCCCAGTGGCCCCTGACTTGCCCTTCTTCCTTCCAGGCTTCAAGGCTACAGGGCAGAGGCAGCTGAGGCCAGAGCACTTTCAAGAAGGTAAGAGTTTGGGGGAGCAGCATGGGGTTGGGACTCCAGGAGGCATCGTAGGCTCTGATGTCTCCCCTCTTGCCTCTAGTTGGCTACGCAGCTCCCCCCTCCCCACCCCTATCCCGAAGCCTCCCCATGGATCACCCTGACACCTCTCAGCATGGCCCTCCCTTTGAGGAACAGAGTCAAGGTAAGGTCACCCCATGCCCTCCTCAGTGATCCTCCAGGTTTCTAATCTGCCCTACATGCCACTTTTCAGATGGAAAGGAGGGAAGAGGCCCTCGCCCCCTCTCCCAGCCCTGGCTAGGAGAAAGGATGGGCTGCTCACACATTCCCCCTTCTATAGTGCAGCCCCCTCCCTCTCAGGAGGCCACCCCTATCCAACAGGAAGAGCTGCTGCCTGCCCAACTGCCTGCTGAAAAGGAAGGTGAGCACTTGCCCACCCTCTCTCACCTCTGTCCCACTATGGATCCTGTTGGCACCAGGCTGATCCCTGCTCCTTGGTGCCCTCACCCCTATCTTGCAGTGGGTCCCCCTCTATCTCAGGAAGCTGTCCCCCTCCAAAAAGAGCTGCCCTCTCTCCAGCAGCCCAGTGAACAGAAAGAAGGTAAGCAGCTCCCTCTCTTCTTTACTCACCTTTACCCCATGGCCTTCCCCAAGAGCATGGGCTGGGGGCAGACAAGATGGTGGGCTCTGCCACTCACCAGTTATATAACCTTGGGTAAGTTACATACTTCTCCAAGCCTTTGTTTCTTCATCTGTAAAACTGAGGATATACCTGTTTTAGAAACTTATGTGATTAAATACGCAAAAAAAGCATCTATTTTCACTTCCTTCTCTGCTGAGTTCTTCTTTGTGTACGTAAACTAGCCAGGCTTTCTCTGCTAGAAATGGCCATCCCAACATGGCTTTTGCTTACTCCTTCCACCCCAGTAGACCCACCTCTTCCATATCAGGAGGAGATAATCATACGATCCATGCCGAGAGAGGGTGAGTGACAGCTTTGGTCTGTCCATCCCCCTAACTTAGTGCTCAGGACCCTGGGGAGAGGAGCAGGAAGCCCGAGCCCTGAGAAGCAGGAGGAGGTGGGGGCAGGCTGTGAGCTGACACCTTTCACACCTTGCTTCTCTTTTCCTTTTAGTTATTTTAAAAGGAAGAGCCACAAATTGTTCTTTCTCATTTCCCTTATATCCTCCCAACACTTTCTCCTCCATCCTGGATTCTTTCAATCCTCTCAGCTCATCCAGCCTTTGTGGATTCCTCCACATGTCCCCGCTTCCCACTGTTTTCCCATTCCAGGAATGCCAGCTCCGTTTGGGGACCAGAGCCATTCAGAACCTGAGTCCTGGAATGCAGCCCAGCACTGCCAACAGGGCCGGTCCCAAGGGGGCTGGGGCCACCGGCTGGATGGCTTCCCCCCTGGGCGGCCTTCTCCAGAAAATCTGAACCAAATCTGCCTTCCTGACCGTCAGCATGTGGTATATGGTCCCTGGAACCTACCACAGTCCGGCTACTCCCACCTCACTCGCCAGGGTGAGACCCTCAATTTCCTGGAGATTGGATATTCCCGCTGCTGCCACTGCCGCAGCCACACAAACCGCCTAGAGTGTGCCAAACTTGTGGTAAGGTTGGGTTCTTGATGCCGGGGGGGTGTCCTTGAACTCCCAGACAGTAGGTGTGTTTTAAGGGTTAGAGCACTAGGCCTGGGTCTGGAGGAACCTCAGGTCCCATTCACTGGCCCTACCCTGGGCCTCCCCAGTGTGCCAGGGGAGCAGAGGACAACCACTGTTTCTTTTCTATCTGCCTGCCCAGGGTCCTTTCCTGGAACCTGGGAGCAAGGCAGGAATGTGGAAAGTGGGCTGATCCTCCCCTCTTGCTCTAGTGGGAGGAAGCAATGAGCCGATTCTGTGAGGCCGAGTTCTCGGTCAAGACCCGACCCCACTGGTGCTGCACGCAGCAGGGGGAGGCTCGGTTCTCCTGCTTCCAGGAGGAAGCTCCCAAGCCACACTACCAGCTCCGGGCCTGCCCCAGCCATCAGCCTGATATTTCCTCGGGTCTTGAGCTGCCTTTCCCCCCTGGGGCGCCCACATTGGACAATATCAAGAACATCTGCCACCTGAGGCGCTTCCGCTCTGTGCCACGCAACCTGCCAGCTACTGACCCCCTCCAAAGGGAGCTGCTGGCACTGATCCGGCTGGAGAGGGAGTTCCAGCGCTGCTGCCGCCAGGGGAACAATCACACCTGTACATGGAAAGCCGTAAGTGGGCGTCCCAGCCTCCCCGAGAGCCTGTTTGCCTGCCTGCCCATCTTCGACCTCTGATCCTGCCGGTCCGTCCATCCATGTAACCCTGCTGTGAGTGCGTCCACCCGTTCATCTGCTTGTGGCTGTCCGTCCATCCACTGTGTTCGTCACCTGAATCTGTTCATCTCGAGCTTCGTACTACACTTCTGGCCTCCTCCACTCATGACCCACACATGCACCTGTCTACCATCCATCCATCTGTCCAGCTCTGGCCTCACCTGACCTTCTCCAACCACTGTTCCAGCTCATCTCCCGGCGCCAGCTTGGAACCTCATC